TTTAAGTTCATTATATTTATTAAATATTATTAGTGATGTAAAAAATTTTAAAATTCATATTTTAGGTACTATTATATATAATCTATGAGTAATGTTATATTGACTTAAAAATTAGACTTGATAATCACGACTATTGAATAAGTAGTAAGTTTCAATAAATGTTGGGACTCACAGTGAAATAAATTATTGTAATTATCAAATTTAATTTTTAAGTCAATGAAATTATTTTCTCATTAGAGAGCACAAGAAGAAATGCAATGTTAATTTAGGCCTCTTTGGCATCTACACAAAAGCCACCATGATCATCCTCAGATGGGGAAAAATCTTCAACCAAATCACCCTAGCATTGGTCCTCTCTCTCCCTCCTTCATCTTCCTCTATTGATGTGTCTTGCATTCAATATTTATTTGGACTCTAGTTGAAAGTGACTTTCATTGGAGAATAGTTGTTGGACTTTAAATAGGAGAAATATGTTTTGTTGTACATGGGCTTTGAGTAAATGCCAGGCTAAAAGAGTTGGAGCAATGGTTATAGTATCCAACACGCGATGGATTTCGAGAAAAGTCTTTTGACTTGAAATATTACCACTGCCATTCGGTCAAGAAGTTTTATCAAATAAAGAATGACGACCACAACATGATTTCTTTATCAAGTTTTGGGTTTGCTCTATTTTTGATTTGGGTTATTTTCGAAAAAATCAATATTGGTGAATAGAAGGTTTTTGACACTATTAATTTTGTAATACTGATAGAGTAGACATACGTTTTCTTGTTAACTATTATCAAGAATAGTTTTGTAATCATTAATTTTTGATAGCAAAATCTTATCGTTGTATTTCGTTCATGGACATATGCTTGTTTGTTGAACTGAACCATATAAATTTGTGTGCTCTATTTTTATATTTCATTCCGTTATTATATTGTTTTCGGGCTTGTTTCATAACATCCTCGCACACTTGAAAGTTTCAAACATACGTCTCTCAAGAAGAGTATGATTTTGAAGACACGTCATTTTGACGATGTCAAAAAAGTTGAGGAGATCAAAGTTAAAGTTGAAATTGAACTTAAATTTCAAGAGGCTAGAGAGTGATGGAAAAAATGAAGTTGAAGAGGTAACTCAAGAAATGGAAGAAAAAGAAGTTCGTGAAGGTCTTGATTTAAAGGTGAAAGAAATTAATGAATTTGTAAGGAACGACGAAGAAATCAATGATCCTTTTGTGATTAAGGATGTTGTAGAGGGATCTTATAGAGTAACAATGAACAATATTTTTTCAACTTAACATCAAAGTGAAGATTATTATGTCAGAATTTTTGAGAATCGTGTTCAAGGTGATGAATTTCTTAAAGGTTACACTAATTATTTTTTTTAGTGTAAAAAATATGTTGAGTGACACAAGTTGGGTGAATATGGAGACATTCTTTGATCCAATAGAGGAAGTCCAAGAAACTTGAAGACCAATTTTGCACAAATGTTCAAAAGCAAATTATTGAAATGAAGATAATGCATCTTCGTGTGCAAATTGATCATAAGCCATTGATGACTTTGGCGATTCTAGCTATTGAAGGAGGTTGTACTAAAATTCATGAAATTTTCAAAATTCTTTAAGGCCCCTCAATTATAAAGAGATTTACAAGATAAGCACTTGAAGTTGCAAAATAAAGTTTTTAATGGGGAGCGATGTTGGAAAATGAACTTTTTTTAGAATTTTATTATGTTATTAAGGTATCTTAATAACGTGTGTTAGTGGGCTAGTGGTATGTCTATATACTATGTAGTGAGTGAGTAAATTGTGTTAGTGATGAGTTAATTCTGCTAGTAGTGGACAAAATGAGTCTTAATATTATAGAGGCTATAAGAGTTAGTGGTGAGTTAATTCCTTCGTCTTTGTCTTCAACGCAATCTCTACTTCAATGACGAACAGTGTGAGTCTCTCTGCGTCAACTCGATCTCTCTTCTTCAACTTCAAGACCCAAGTGTCCAGTTCCAATCTTCGTCTTCCTTCTTCAGGCAAAGAACAGTAAGCTAAGCCCTCTCTCTCTCTCTCTCTCTTTTTTTCTATTTATGTCGTTAAGATTATATACGTATTTTCTATATACGCCAGGGTTTGAGGATTTTAAATGACAATGATTTGTAGTAATTTTCATTTGGCGTGAGTGGTAATGGAGGTTTAAGTATCTATTGTTTAATTGTTTTCCCTATTGTACAATGGTTGACTCGTTATGAGATTTTCTCTATTCTACAATGCCTGACTCGTTATCAGAGGTTGTATTTTTTGTAGGAGCAGTACTTACTTGTAGTATCCGTATACACACACACAGAGCACACTCAATCACTCACTGTCAAGAGTTTTACTCATGAATCATGATAGAAATTATGTGAATTTTATTTAGATTGAGATCAAGGCCGTGAATTTTATTGAGATTATGAATTTTATGAAGTTTGAGATTGTGAACTTTATTGAGATTAAGATTGTGAATGTTATGAATTTTGAGATTGAGGTTAAGATTGTGTTTATTTTCTTTATTTTAATTTATTAATTTTATGACAAATTATATGCATCGTAAACATATATCATATTTTTTAGTTAAATTATTATATTTTATAATATATATATATACTAGTTATTGTTTATGCCTGAATGTACAGAATAATAAAAAATGATAAATATTAAACATATTTGTATTTATATCTAAAATCAAATCACAAACACAGAAAAGAGATAAAAAAAATTTAAGCATCAGTTTGTAGAGGTGGTGGGCGGTGACGGCGATGGTGGCAACAGTGGGGGCGGCGACGGCGGTGGGAAGGGTGGTGGTAGAGTTATTGGTGAGGCGGTTTTAAACACTTTTTTTTTAAAGTATTTAAGAAAAATAATTTTTATAAGTATTTTTAAAAAGTCTTTTTAAACACAATCTTAGGGGCCTATTTTTTTCTATTAAATTTAAGGTGTTAATATTAACCATTAAATTAACTTTAAAGTAAAATTTAAAGTGATCGCAATTGCGAATAGTAAAAATCATTTTGTTTATTTTTGAGATTTGAATTATAAGTTACTATGTGTTATATATATATATATATATATATATATATATATATATATATTATTTTTTTATTATATGACTAATCCGACCGATTAATCTAACAGGTGAACCAGTGAATTATTCTTTCCCACTGATAACATTGCTTCACAGTCCTTCTCATTTTCTACCTCCTCTCCACTTCTGCAGTGGTTTACACAGTGGGTGAGAGTTGCTTGCCATTTGTGTTGGGCCTAATTGCAAATTTTTTGGGTCAAACTACATCTCTTATTGTAGGACCATTTTCGGACCCTTTTAAATTGGGGGCCCTTAGCAGCTGCCTCAATGGCTTTGCCATTGAGCCGGCCTTGAATCTCACATATAGTGAGTAATATCGGTTGAAATTTTGAGTGTTTGCATGTGGTTTTCATTTTCTCACCAACCTATCTAATATACAAGGGAAAGAGTATTACTGGTACATAGGCGGAGGGAGGTAGGGGCCAGGGTGGTCACGTGGCCCCCTCAATTTTTTTTTTTTTTTATTAGTTAGATATATGTATTATATATTTATACATATATATTATGTGTGTCTCTCATTTATATTAGGTCCATATTATTTATCCAAAATAATTAAACAATTAAGTCCATTTAAAACAAAAAAAATGAATTCACTATTATCTATCTAAACTTATTAAAAAATTAAATATTTGACCTATCACGATCCACTCAAACCTATTAAAAAAACAAAACTTTTAGCCCAACATTAAAATCAAAATTTTTGACCCAACATTAAAAACAAAACTTTTGGCCCATCATCATTAAAAAACAAAATTTTTTGGCCTACTTGACTAAAACCTATCTTATCTTTTTTTTTTTTTTTTTTTTCTCTCTCTCTCTCTGTATCACTCACTCTCAATTGTCCACTGTCCACTACCCAGTCACAAGAAAAAGAGAAGAAACAGATAAAAGTTCAACATATGAGAAACTCAGTTCTTTGAGTTTTTTTATCCTTACACCAACCTATAAAATTATTTTATACATTATATTTACCCCCTAAATTTTTGAAAATTTTAATAATGGTTCTAGTTTTTGTTTTTTTAATAAATTAGTAGACCACTAACCCTCTAAAATAAATATGTTAGTTTTGGATTAAGTCAATGTTTTATTTGTATATTGATGAAAATACAATATTTTTCTTTATCTAACACAATATTTGTTACTTTTTAAGAATAATTTTTAGTTTTCATTTACCATTTTTTTTAGTAATAGTAGTCTATAACCTAATAAAATATGAAAATTAATTTATATTTAATTCACATACAAGATTTTAGAGATTTTAAAAAATTTTATATTTTATTGAAATATAAAATTAGGTTAAAATGTACTAAAAAAATTATTTTGTGTCTTTTTGTTAAGATTTTGTTTCGGCTAAATAAAAATTGAATTTACTATTTCACAATAATTTAGTGTTGATTTTTTTTTTTTTATTCTTGCACTGAAATTTTTTGTATTAATTTCAGCTTAATATTTTTTTATATCAGTTATAGTTTGCCTCTATCATAGATATTCATGGCTCCGCCCTTAGCAATATACATTTTTTTTTTTAGAATTTTTTATGTTAAATGGACTTCATATATCAAATATAATATAATAAATATAAATATGTTACTTTGTGTGATTGGTTAGAAGAAAAAAAAATTAAAGTGCATAATTAAAGTGTCTATCCTAAACAAAATTCCTGACTCCGCCCCTGCTAATATAACCTAGTAATTATAGCCATAAAACCATGCATCATTAACGATAGTTATTTTTGTACACATAGGCACTATTGAACATAAAATGTGGATTTTTCACCCTAACCCTAAAATCCAATTCTGTCTAATACATCTCTTGTCCCTCCAAAATCACATAAAAAGATGGTTACACAAATTACAGAACTTTCTCTAAGTTCCTAGCTACTTCTATTGCCAGTAGAGATCGTCCTCAACATTCATATACTTGGCAGTTTCGATTCAAAGTTATGTCGATATCCTTGGCTATATTCTCTGCATCATTTGAGATTCCGAACAATCCCGCCCTTGAAAATCCTGCACAGTATAGCCCATTTTTTCCTTTCCAATGATCCGGGAATCCTCGTTTGGGCTTGCCATCCTCATTAAAAAGGTCTGCACCATCCTGCTTAAACATTAAAATGTGCTTGTTAAAACCTTTAGATGCTTAGAAAATGTAGTCAAGATGATGAAATTTTTTTTTTTTTTTTTTTTGTACCTGGAGCCATTTCCTAGCTGTGCTCTTGTAGCCAGTAGCAAAGACGATGGCATCGAGTTGCTTGATCTCACCATTTGTAAATTCAACGTTATCACCTTGGAACTTTGTTATAGATGGAAAAACCTGACAAATACAAAGATCATCGTCATTATAGCCCACAAGAAAAGGTGACAATTGACAACTGAAATAAAGAGTAAACTATTCTGATATTTATATGTTAAACATATTAAGGTATTTATTTATGGTTATCTACCTGAATATCTCCAATCTTAATCTTGTCTACGGTGCCAACATCGATAACTGGAGATCGACCAGTTGTCCTTTTAAGATAGAATGGTCCTTTAGTTGGCCTTTGAAGCCCATAATCAGCAAGATCTCCATACCTGAATTTGCCAAGCATTCTAACAATGTTGTCCACTAGATTACAGGGAATGAATTTTAACAAAAACATTCCCAGATGCACCATTTCCTTTGAAAGCACATGCACCTGAAACAAAACACATTTCATTCAGAAGATGAAGCTAGTGAAAAAAGAAAAAAATCTAAAAGAATTTCATCGCGTGATCTCCTTAACATAAAAATTTTGGAGGTGAAGCAAGACCATCCGACGATACATATAGTAAGGAAACTTGCAATCTTAAATCAAATTCCAATACATGTTCAGTCTTTACTCTATAAAGGATTACCAAAACTTGGATGTCGGATATCTATTTGTGTATGTATATCTTATTAGATATGTATTCCATGCATCACATGGGTTACTGCTGGTATATATCTTATAGACATGTACATGTAAACTTACAGGACTACGAGCAACAATGGAGGTCCTAGCACCCGAGTTTGACAAATCATAGGCAATCTCCATTCCAGAATTCCCACAACCAACAACCAAGCAATCTTTGTTACAAAACCTCTTTCCATTCTCATATTGACTAGAATGCATAGCCTCCCCTCTAAAGCTTTCTAACCCCGGCACCTTTGGAATAAAACCTTCACTATTTTCACCTGTCGCGACCACAAGAAACTTAGCCACATATTCTTCAGCTTCATTCGAAAACAAATTTTTCGCCACGACGCGCCATTTTGCCACAACCCCATCGAATGATGCAGCCTCAACGTTCCAATGGTACAATGGATACACATTAAAAGTGGATACATAGTTGTCTAAGTATTGGATGAAACCACTCTTTGGGATAAATGTAGGTGCATCAGAAGGGAAGGACATATATGGAAGTTGACAAAACCCTTTTGCAAGATGAAGTTTTAACCGATCATAAGACCTTTTTTTCCAGAGAGAAGCACAGCAATTTTCTCTCTCTAAAACTATGTTTGGGACGTTGAGACGATTGAGACAAGCAGCGGTTGCTAGACCAGCAGGACCCGCACCTACAATGACTACTACTGTTTCTTGCACCATTTTCACTATTTTTTCTCTACCCTTTCTATGAGGCTGCCCAGTGCCTATATATAGGTGGTAAATTGTCAAGAAAGTGGGATAAAAGTAATAGCTTAGCCCTCATAATTGAGCTATTTAAAAACTTTCCTTGTTTGTTTAGCTTTATAAATGCATAACTACCTTAGGAATCACAAGGATTATCCCTATTTAAAACTTACCTTGTTTGTTTAGCTATATAAATGCATAACTATCTTAGAAATCACAAGGATTATCCCACCATGTCTCTAGGATTGCTTTAGAACAAGAATTACTCATTTCTACATTTTATTTTTGAGTAATGATATTGATATCTAACTCAAATGAAACCTAAAAGTTGTAATTCAAATGCAAAACATCCTCTCTCTTTTTTTTCTTTAGTTGGAACTCATATCATCACTTAAATAAGTGGACCCTATCAACTTTTTCAATGAGATTCACTCATCTAAGGGATGATATACATTTAGGTTGTAATTTTTGGGTTCCATTTTAGTTGTGTAGCATTTTCCTTTATTTTTGTTAAGATAAAATTTTAATTAGAGGTATGCTATAATGATTTGCTGTTTTAAACCATGTCAATTTTCCTAATTCCATTAAACATGCGTATTATTGTTTTAGGTAAACATAAAATTAGGGATTTGGGTCTCTTTGGGGAACCTTAGGGATTTGCAGATACTTATAAATTGTCCTATGTACTAAAATTTTAATCAATCAAGTCAATAATGCAATATTTTGAGAGTTTCTCTTTCTTTTTTCTGTAAATTCAGAGCGTGTATTCTTACATTTAAAAACGGTGATTTTTTTATTTTTTGTTTTATCGCTACGTCAAGTATGGATTAATGTAATCTTGATCAGAGGCTCATAAATAAGTCAAGCTATGGCTAGTAAACTTTTGGTTCTTGTTGAAGGGTGATTCGGTATTTTCCAGATATTTCATATCAGATAAAGTCAAATGGAAGAAAGCTTTTATTAATTATAAGCTTATCCAAGGTATTATGAGATTACAGTTACTAAGAATAATATTAAATTTCGGATAAGATAATGCAACCAAAGAGAGTGGGATACTATCCATTTGGCAATGCATATTAAAGAATTTAGCTGCGTAATTATTAACAGATTAAGTCATGTTTAAAAATTATTGATTGGATTTTTCTTCAAGATTTAATTTGACGTTGTCTTTTTTTTTTTTCTACCTCATAAGTTTACCCCGCTAGAAAAAACAATATTATTATTTAGAGTTAATTTATTGGCATGTAAATCATTGAATTGGTTGTGGGTCCCAAAAAAATCGGGATTCACTTTCAATTTAATGATTATGAATAATTAAATCTAATTATCATTATTCGTGAAAAATAGATAAAGCTGTTAAAATGAAAAGAACTGTTTTAAATTATCGAGTGGACTACATCATATTTATCTACTTTTTTTTTCTAGCCTTTCATTTATGCAATGTCTTTTTTTTTTTTTTTTTTTTTGAGGTTGGAAGTTGATAGGAATTCATTGATCAAATTAAAGGACAGACGACAAAAACATTGGATCTTCTTCACTCTAACTGATCACATCCTAAAACATATTTTTCATACTGAGCTAAAGAATATGTAGAGAAAATATAATAACCAAAACATGATCAAAAGCAATTTCCAAGTAAAGGGACAAGAGGACCTATTTTTGAAATGAGCAATGCTCACTAACACATGGATTAAATCCCTTTCAGTATTTTTTTTAATTTTTCTTTAAAAACTTATTAATTTATGTAGTATGGATCTTTTAATTGTGGGTAAATAGCATAAATGCCCCTGAACTATTGTTTTTGTTTTAATTAAATGGTTAAATTACATCCAAATCCCTTAAACATTGTCATTAAAACACAAAGACTTTTTTAGGTGTGATATATTAAATTGACACCCCTGTTAGTCACGGTCAACTAACACGTCTAACATAAATTTTAAGAAGACTATTTTGCCCTTATTTAAAATAAATAAAATCAACCTAAGCCAAACTCATATACCATACCTTAGTCAGTTGACCTTGTTAGTTTTTATAAACTTAATTCTTAAAAGGTAGTTTTTTGTATTTTTGGGTTTATGATAAGTCATAGTATTTGAAAAGATGGTCACTAGAAGTGTCCAGAATATTTTGGGAGGCTTGTTTATGCATGACTATATGGGAATTCGAACAGTTTTTCTTGGAGGCAGCAGGCCATTAAGTGGTCAGATTCAAGGTGTTTTGGCTAGGAAAAATTAGTATAAAAGGGGCTGGAGTTACTGCCCAAAACATAGTGTATCTGCGAAAAAAAAAAACAGAGTAAGAGAGTAAAAAATCTGTTTTGCTGTCAGAAAAAACGCAGCAGAATGTTTATGAGCAGAAGCTCTATTCTTTTGTATTTCTTGAGTGTTTGTTGCTGAAAAATTCAGATTAGCTTTCTCTCTTGTATTCCTTGATATTGTGATCATCTTTTATGAAAATATAGAGGTGTTTCTTGAGTAAAATTAGTGTGGATATATAGAAGATTTTTTATCCTCTGTTTTTTGTGTTCTTTGGTGATCCATTTTGCTTCCAATACCCAACAAAATTGGTATCAGAGCAAGTTGTTATGGCCACTATGAGTAATGTGCTTCAATCCCAATTTTTCAAATTGGGAAAAAATAATTATGGGAATTGGAGTATTCAAATCAAGGTGTTGTTACAATCACAAGATCTTTGGAAAATTGTTAAAAAAGGTTATATCGAGCCAACCACGGAGGAAGAGCAAGCGCTTAATGATGCTCAAAAGTGGTGCTTAAGCAATCAAGGAAGACGGATAAAAAGGCTTTATTCCTACTTTACCAATGTATTGATGATAACACTTTTGAGAAGATTTCTTCCACCACCACCTCGAAGCAAGCTTGGGAAATTTTGAAGAGTATGCATAGAGGCATTGATAAAACAATTCGGGTTCGTCTTCAAATATTACGAAGTGAATTTGAAGGGTTGAACATGAATGGAGCCGAGTCAATTTCGGAGTATTTTTCAAGAACTTTGGTGATTGTGAATCAAATACGAAAGTATGGAGAAGATATTAATGATGTTCGTGTTATGGAAAAAATACTACGAACTTTAACCCCAAAATTTGAGCATGTTGTTGTAGTCGTTGAGCAGTCCATGGATTTCAAGACTACAAGTATTGATGAATTGATGGCGACATTGGAAATACATGAGCAGCGTATTAATAAAAAGACTTCAAGTTCTCTTGAACAAGCTCTCCAATCCAAGCTTTCTTTGAAAGATGAAAAAAGAGAATTTCAAGATAGTACATCCCAAAGAGGCAAAGGTAATGGAACACGAGGTAGAGGTTATGGCAATCGAGGAAGAGGCTACGAAGGTCATAGAAGAGGCTGTGTTAATAGAGGTAGAGGAAGAAGAGGTCAATTCACTAATGATCTAAGAAATCAAAATTCTTATGGTTCAAGAGGAAGAGGACGAGGAAGAGCAAGAGGCAATTACAACAATCAAGGTTTTGACAAGAGAAATGTTGAATGCTTCAATTGTCACAAGTTTGGGCATTATAGCAATGAGTGTTAGGCAAGTGCAAATAAAGACGTTGAAGAACATGTGAATTATGCAGAGAAAGCAAGTAATGAAGCGGCATCTACTTTGTTGTTGGCCTATGATAGATCCGAGGAAGATAATGGCAACGTGTGATTTCTTGATTCCAGGGCAAGCAACCATATGTGTGGTAAGAAGCATATGTTTGTAGAACTTGATGAAGTGGCGCAAGGCAAAGTTACTTTTGGCGACTCCTCCAACATTCCGGTGAAAGGCAAAGGTAAAATTCTTATTAAGCTCAAGAATGACAATCATGATTTTATTTTTGATGTCTATTATGTGCTGGATATGAAGAATAGTATTTTGAGTTTGGGGCAACTTTTAGAAAATGGTTATGTTATTAGCATGAAGAATCTTCACCTTACAATTAAAGATGTCTGTGGTAATTTGATTGCTAATGTGGAAATGTCCAAGAATAGAATGTTTCCTTTGAATATTCAACATGATGTTATGAGATGTTTGAATGCTATTATTAAAGATGATTCTTGGTTGTGGCACTTGAGACTTTGACATCTTAATTTTGGTGGCTTGAAGCTCTTATCTAGCAAGAAAATAGTGAAGGGTCTACCCTACATAGATCATCCAGATGAATTATGTGAAGGGTGTATTCTTGGCAAGCATCACAGATTAAGCTTCTCAAGAGAAGTCAAGTGGAGAGCATCACGACCCTTGGAGCTTGTGCACACCGATGTTTGTGGTCCTTTGAAGCCTATGTCAAATGGTAAGAATCACTACTTTCTTACTTTTATTGATGACTATAGCCGAAAGACTTGGGTATATTTTTAAGAAGAAAGTCCAAAGTGTTTGAAGTTTTTAAAGAGTTCAAGAATCTTATTGAGAAGTAAAGTGGCTATTTTATCAAGAGGTTGAGATCAAATCAAGGTGGTGAGTATAGTTCTGATTTATTTGAAAACTATTGCAAGAAGCATGGAATTGTGCATCAATTTACGCAAATAGGACTATTCTTGATATGGCTAGAACATGTTGAAAGGTAAGAAATTGCCTAGAGAATTTTGGGTCGAAGTGGTAGCATGTGCAGTGTACCTGTTGAATCGATTTCCAATCAAAAGTGTTCGTTTCAAGACCCCGCAGGAAGCTTGGTGTTCATTCAAGCCAAGTGTAGCTCATCTTAGAGTTTTTGGATGCATTGCTTATGTGAAGATTCCCAAAGCAAGGAGGACAAAGCTTGATGATAAAGGTGAAAAGTGCATTTTTCTTAGGTATGGTGATAGAACAATGGGGTACAAGTTATACAACCCCATTACCAAGAAAGTGGTTTATGAATAGAGATGTAATCTTTGAAGAGGAAGACATGTGGGATTGGAAAGAAAAAATTTTAGCCACCGAAGTGGAACTTATGCTTGAAGAAAAAGAGTCCGAAGAACCAAGAGAAGTCCAAG